TTTGGTGAGAAAAATAACCAAACCTGCCTTGTTTGAGGATTTCCAGGCCATGCTTAATCCATCAATCAGGGTGCTTTCCTGGGACTACACAGCATCTTCTGGCCTGGGCAAGGAGAGCACCCAGTATTCTGCCCTCTTTGGCAATTCTGTGAGATTTGTTTCTTTATTCAGTCATCAAACTGTCTGTCATAGTCCCCTTACCAGAGAGGCACTCCCTTGGCTCTAGACAGGATAGGTCAGGAATCTTTGTATTCACACACTGCTTCATACAGGCTTCTAGCACTCTCAAGGTCCCTTGCTCAATGCCTTTTTGATATCTAGCATTCCTTCTCCAGCCCAGCCTTGGCTCTAGAGGGTCAAGGTGGTTCGAACCTGAGATTCTAAGAGTTAGGGCAATCAAGACAAAAGAAGCTAGATCTTCATTCACAAAATCAGGGGACACCAGAACATAATCACATCTCTTACAGCGAGAGCACAGGAAATTAAAGAGATGGGCCAGGCTACAGACCAAGGTTTCTCAAACTCCATGCTCAGTCCCGATGGGATAGTGGCTTTCCTATCTATTTGAATCTGTTGAGGGCTACTCTATTTTGGAGTTGGAGTAGCTCCCTGCCTCAGGTCCTCAACAGGGAGAAGCTGGGACCCCAAGTGCATATTCTTGTTGCCTTAACACACTCACAAGATCAATCTTTGTTGATGTTTATCAGTCAAGGAGACTCTTAGGACAGGAGAGCATTCTAGGTTATGGAATCAGACCTGGCTTCCTTTCCTGCCTTTGCCACATTTTAGCTGCTTGAACAAGTGCCTTGATCTCTCTGAGCTTTGAGTTTTTTCATCTGTTAAAATAGATAATGCAACCTAGCTTCAGGATATAGAATTAAATGAGCTGCCGTGTATAAGTTATTTGACTTTGAGCCTAACACAAAGCTATAAATTATAATGTATCAGTTCTTACCTATGTTACCTCTCATTTGTGTCCCCCTCCCTAAACTGCATTCATGATCTTCCCACCAGGGTCAGTGTCTATGAGGAAGTTCTTCCTGGCCCTGCAATGGGGAACTTTTCCCTCCTTGGCTGCCTCCTTCCAAACCCATTCATCTAATCTCAGAGTAGCTACCTCTGCTTCTGCTGTTGCATTCAGGGAGGGGTTAGAGGGAAGAGTCCCTTGTTTTGACCCCTTCCTGCTTCAGTGACAGGAGGGCTGCAGAGAGGGATTAGTGAGCTAATTAGAAATGATTGCATCTCTCAGCATTAATTAGCAGTGTTGTGGGCTTGCAGTGTGCACTTTGGAATTGAGCCCCCTGTGGGACAGCATGGCAGGCAGCCCTCTGCCTTGGGGGCCTGACAGTCCCTCTGCACTGATTAGAAATGATAGAACAGGTTTGGGTAGTCACAATAAGGGTTGCCCTCTCAAGGTACTCTGGGCTTTCTGACTCAGACCCTCTATGTCTTTATCACTGGGCCTTGGTCGCCTCTTCCATAAAATGGGAACAATGAACGTGAGAGAAATTCTTCTTGGGTTGATTCTAGGTAGGACACTAAGGGCTCTTGGCCTAAAAACAAAAGGGGTTTTAGCTGATAAGTGAACAACAGGCCGCATCAGTCCCCTGGAGGGACCTTGGATTCTAGCCAAGAGATGTTTTCTAAAGTTGTATTTCTTGACCCCAAAAGAGCCCATGATCTTGATCTTCTAGGAAGATACCAAGCAACAATGGAGTGTCTTTGCTCATTGGACTCCTTGAGTACTGCAGGTAGGGAGGTATGCATTAAGCTTGAGCCAGCTCTGGCCACAGCATAGACACTTTGCTGGCCTAGCTCTAATCTCTCCAGGTGCTCTTGGCAAGGCCCAGTCCCCAAAGGAGCAGAAGGTGCTGCATAATGAGGGCCAGATCAGTCACTGAACAAAAGGGCTAATGGCTGGCAGGAGGTCAGGATGTGTCAACTCCACTGGGACCCTGGGAACTACAGTGACCGTCTGCCTGTTCTGTGCTTTGTTTTCGGTTTCTCCATACAGCTCGGATTGGGAAAATGAAACGGAGGAAGCAAGATGAAGGGCAGGTATGTCCCCTGTGCAACCGCCCCCTGGCAGGATCGGAGCAGGAGATGAGTAGGCATGTGGAGCATTGCCTTTCTAAGGTAGAGGGGCCATCACCACCTACCTCTTCTCCCCTCCCCCTTTCCCTTCACACTAGCTGCTGACTGCCCCCAGATCTATGGGCTGTTGGGGTCTCTGTGTGGTCTCAGCAGCTTCTTCCTCTTTGTTCTTTGCTTTTTTCCTTTGCTTTCACTCTCCCACTCCTCCCCTGGGGCTCCAGTGGAAAATCATTGGGAAGAGGCCCAGGTCCTTGACCACTAGATTGGCTTACTTCACAGGAGGCCTGGAGCTGGGGGCCCATCTGGCATACCGCAGCTGGGGGGCCAGGGCTGTGCCTTCCTTGCAGGCCTTGGACAGGTAGGAATGGCCTGGGACTCGCATGATCCTGCTCTACTCTTCACAGAGGGAAGGCTCCTGCATGGCTGAGGATGATGCCGTGGACATCGAGCATGAGAACAGCAACCGCTTTGAGGAGTATGAGTGGTGCGGGCAGAAGCGGATACGGGCCACCACTCTCCTGGAAGGTGGTTTCCGAGGTACAAGCAGCGACACATAGGCAGTGGCACTCTGGAGGTCAGGCCTTTGCTGGGTATTCATCAGTTGGGAGCCAAGAGGCCAGGGTTGGTGGCTGGTCGTGTGTTCCACCATGTGAGAACTGCTGCTGGTGGGGCTCCTTTGTGACCATGCTGCCTGCCTGTGATGTGCATATTAAAATAGACATATTTGGGTGGGGAAATGGAATTGTGAGGCTGCAAGCTAGGAGTGACGAGGGGGGCTCTCAGCCTCGGGTGATGCATTGAAGGTGACAGGCAAGCCGTGTTAGCACCTGCATAAAATATTAAAGGGACGGTTATGCATTTATCACTCCATCCCTCTTAAGGCTGATAAATGAGAATCCAGCAACCTGCTGTACACCTCCAGCACTGGGGGCCCTGAGGGCTTCCAGGCAAACACATTGGATTTTCTTCTTCCTCCTCCTTCTCCTCCTCCTCTTCTTCCTCCTCTTCCTCCTCCTCTTCCTCCTCTTCCTCCTCTTCCTCCTCTTCCTCCTCTTCCTCCTCTTCCTCCTCTTCCTCCTCTTCCTCCTCTTCCTCCTCTTCCTCCTCTTCCTCCTCTTCCTCCTCTTCCTCCTCTTCCTCCTCTTCCTCCTCTTCCTCCTCTTCCTCCTCTTCCTCCTCTTCCTCCTCTTCCTCCTCTTCCTCCTCTTCCTCCTCTTCCTCCTCTTCCTCCTCTTCCTCCTCTTCCTCCTCTTCCTCCTCTTCCTCCTCTTCCTCCTCTTCCTCCTCTTCCTCCTCTTCCTCCTCTTCCTCCTCTTCCTCCTCTTCCTCCTCTTCCTCCTCTTCCTCCTCTTCCTCCTCTTCCTCCTCTTCCTCCTCTTCCTCCTCTTCCTCCTCTTCCTCCTCTTCCTCCTCTTCCTCCTCCTCCTCCTCCACCTCCCCCGACCCATGTCAGAAAAATCAGTTACAGAGGAAAGGGTGAGTTATGGCAAAATTTGACCTCCCATGAGCTTCGTTGGTGAATCTAATTTTAGCTCTGATCCCATCCTCCCTGGGCGCCCTCTGCCCTGAAGCAAGAGGGACCTGGGCCCATCTGCTCCCTGTTTCCCTCAGGCTCTCCCCAGTTGTTCCAGAGGGGTCTACAGGGCCCTGCCCAGCTCCAGTGCCATTCCAGCTCCTCAAAGGGATATGGCATGGCCCAGTGGAAGTCTCCCACCTGCAACACACCAGGTCAGACAGCAGACTGGTTGAGTGCCCAGGGTCAGTGTCCTCTTTTCAAACTCCCTTGCCTTGGCAGGGGAAGGGGGAGCTATCTGCCTCCTGGTCTCCAGCTCTTCTCTCTTCTGTGCGCAAGCACAGCTGGCACTGCAGCTTATGGTCATTAAGTGAGCCAATCTGCTTCCATCTGCCTCCAGTTCTCTGGGCATCACCCTTGGGAGAACAGCTATGTCTGGTCCCCAGGGAATCTCACAGCAGCTAGGAAGAGAGTCTCTGCCTCTTTGGGGTCCTGCCACTTGGTCTGGTGGTAAGGGGTGATCACAGTGCCGTCCAGTGCAGACTGGCTACACTAATAGGCTCCAAGCCCAGGTGGGGCATTATGCCACTAGGCTTCTCTCACATTTTCCAAGCGTTTGGGGACAAGCCAAAGTATAAATCAGGAAGGTTAATCAGACCAAACTGGTTCCCAAGCCTAAGCACTGAGCTGGGAAATGTTCACGTGCCATTTCACTCTGTTTCTGTCCTAAGTGTCTGAGGCCCTGGGAGAATGAGCAGCAAAGCCCAGGATCCCGTGAACTATACACACAGGTGTCTGGTGGCAGCCTGTGCAGGGTCAGTTCCAGGATGTTGCTCTGGGTTCACTCTGTTGGCTGCTGCAGATATTCACACCTTCCATTGCTGTGGCAACTTCTTAGGTTTCTTGGCACACAACTGGATCTGATGGCTTCTGGGCACAGAAAGGGCTTAAGGGGGATAAAGCTACGTAGGGCCTGCTGATTTGACAAAGTATTTCCCCTGCACTAGGATGCACTTGCAGAGCTGGTGCGAGGGGCTCTTAGGCCTTGGGCGGGTGTCAGTTTTCCCAGAGTGTTTACACTGTGAGGTTGTTCTTTCAAGAATTCCTAAGGAGAGTTCAAAGGGGGCTTTTCTTTGAGCGATTTGGAAGCGAGAATGAGAGTGAGACTTGAAGAGGGAACAGGGGCCGGAGGTGCCTTTATCTGCAGAGAATTGCTCCAGCTTTCCTGATAGAAGCTGCTGCCGCCTCTTAAACAGCTTAGTGCAGTCAAAAGACAGGCAGACTTGAAAGGCTGTTTTACAGCAAGATCAGCAGGGGCCACGAGGCAGAGAGCGGGGCGCAGTGGAGCGGAGGAGGCTGAGGCTTCTCAGTGGAGGGGGAAGCTATCAAAGGAAGCTCTGGCTGATCCAGACTGCTTCTGTCACCGAAACTTTGTCTGCAGAAGCTGGCCATCTGTCAGTCTACTCTTTCTGGCCTGGACCAATAGTCTCAAACTCTTGGGGGGTTGGGTGTGGCCCCGCCAGGCGGGCTGGTGTCAGTGCAGCGCATTGATCGCCCGCCGGGCGGGCTGGGCCGCAAGCCGGGCAGCGCGTGCTTAATGTGATTGAAAGGCAGTTAAAATGGCGGTGACCTTTTCAGGAGGAATTAGATTGCCTGCCAAGACCGGTTAGAGGGAGTGATAACGCTGGCTGAAGAAGCTGCCCAGCCGACTTCAGAGAGAGGGAGCAGAGGCAGGATGAGCAGGCGAGCGGTGAGGCCCATTTAAGCTGCTCTGTGCGTGCTGACAGAACAGAGATTGCTGTCCTTGTTAGATATGAAAGAATTGAAGAATTGCAGATAAGGTCCTATATCCGATCATCCCCTACCCCGCTCCCAGACCAGGGCCCCTTCGTCATCTTCAGTAAAGCTTCATACCAGGCCCACTGGGAGCTGGTCTGATGGATCAAATCAGTTCCTTGGAATATAATCAGCTATGGAGCCAGTGGACAAGCAGGAGTTTTGGTGACGACACTTGACTGAGGGGAGCAGGCCTTAGAGATGGGACTTATGGTTACTGACAGTGAGGCCCAGATAGCTCAGGCCTGGGAGTATTAGGAATTGGTATTTTAGGAAAAAATGAAGGACCAGACATAACAGGTAAGCACCAAGATAGGTCCAGCTGGAAATAGATCTTTAAGAGACTAAGGGAAATAGGTAAAGAATGCAAAAAAGTAAATTAGAAGAAACTTTCAGTCTAGGAAACACTCTGGCCCTCTCAGTTCTGGGAGAGATTGTGGGCTGTCCCCTCAGAACCTTAAGTTTGCTAACCTGCTACTGCTGTTTCTCCCCACCCAGAGGTATAATTGCCTCAAGGGCAGCACACATTGCCTAGTGCTTCACCAGCATTCCCTTAAAAGAACTCAGCGGTTACGAGAAAAAAGATACTTTTGGGGGGCAACATGCCTGCCCTGGGCAGAGCAAGAATGTCTCTAGGCTAGAGCAGCAGGCCACAGGAAAAACCTAATTATACAGCCCTTGGAGATAAACCTACTCCCACATATAGTCAAAGGAGGTATGTGACGAATGAGCCACAGCTTTCCTCATTTCCTGTTTCTCCAGGTCCTGGGTCCTGGAGAAGAGACTTAAGGTAGTGAGCTTTGTTCCCTCCCCTGTATTGGTTGCCAGTGAAAGTTCAACCAGCTGGATTTGAGGAGCCTGAAGCTCATCATATCTGAAATGGACAGACTGGAGAGAGGACATGGGAATGGTTGGTTTCAGATAAGGTGACAGGGATGTGGTGGACACATGAGTGGTGAGATGGAGGAATTTCCCAGGAAGCTGCATAAGAAACGGAAGGTGCTGCAACTATATCTTTGAACCTGAAGGGAAATGGGTTGCTAGAATCCTGGATTAAGCCCCTTTGAATCAAACAGGTAGAGGGGAGGGAGAGGGAAGGTACTAAGAGAATCGGCTGTGCAGGGCCTCTGCCCTGCCCAGATCCTGGCCTAGGGATTACATCTTTTTCAAGTTTCTGTCTTAGATTTAGGCTGGTTCCAAGTAGCTGAATGAGGCATCATGAAGAGGACAGGCAGGGCAGCTCAGGCATGGATCTTTGAATTGGCTGTAGTGAGAAGAAACTTAAGCACCAGATTATGAGTCAAGGGGGTGAGAGATATTGTGAGTCTAAGGGCACAGTGAAACAGGCCTTGCCCCAGCTATTGCCTCCTTTGGCATGTTGGTTCCCAAAAGATGGGATCCCTAGGTGCTAAAAATATCCCCCGGCAGAGCCCTGCTGCTTGATTCAGTCAGTAACAAGTGTTGGAACAGCCAGCTGCTGGAGGCAGTCTTGGATTGGAGGGCGTTAGGGCTGCTGCCTTTAGTTATAACTGTTGCCTGGTGGGAGCGGTTGGAGAGGTGGCAAGGAGCAGGGCACCTTCTGTCCCCTGTGGTGACTGACGGGATTTAATCGCCTTTTGGAACACAATTGTTAAGCTGGGACAGGAGTGCAGGCAGGAGCAAGTATCAATGGTTTTAAACGGCGTCTGTCTCTCTATGCGTCTCTCCTGACGTGAGGCAGTGAAACGCGTTATCGAGGAGGCCCGGAAAGTGGCTAAGTGCGTTTGACACACGCCAACTCCCTGCCTCCACACTGGATAATTGCATTGTCAACTGTTCAGCGAGGTGGCAGGTGACACTGCAGGCCGATTGATTGTCCCGCATCGCAGCTCCCCAGACTGTCAGCTCCCCAATCGATGGCGTTTACACAAGACACCGTAACTGCATCTGTAACTAATTCCAGTGTAAAACTCTCCGGAAGCTGCTGCCCCTGACCCCCCTTCCTTTTGGAGAGCACAGTCCTCTGGAGGGCCCCAAGACTTTCCTTTCTCCCTAGGCTCTGGTTTTGTTGGGAGCAGTAGGTGAGGAAATCAATGGCTCTTTTTTTTGTGGTTTCAGGTTCCAGGACGTTACAGTCCCCAGTAAACGTGCATCTCCAGTTTCTCAATCGATTATCTGATCAATTGATTAAATTAACAGTGATTTTTTTTTTTTTTTTTTTTTCTTCTCAATGACCCAGGAAGAAATGAGTTTATGGGAGGGGGGTCGTTTTTATAAAATTTAGACTTGTTTATCATTTCTGCACTTAACCCCCTCCCTCTCTATTGCTAAGTGTACACTTGGAAGGGATTTTTCACTGCCCACCCTCCAAGGACTCGGACCCACTCTGCTGAGCATCACTGACCTCCAGGCTTAGTTTGCCTGTTGGCAACAGCCCAGCCCTTTGTGCCACTTTAAGGTGGAGCCAAGTCATGACAACAGGGCCTCCTTGATGACTAAAGGGTACTCTGGGTCATCTTGGAGGTCCTCAGGGCTGAGTCCATTCCCTGGATAGAAGCAGCAGCAGCAGGAGTGGCAGCTTGCCTGTTATCCCCAGATCTGTACAAAACAGGAGCCAAAGGCTTGGAAAGGAATTCTCTGTGCCATCTCGCCTCTGAGTACTGGCTTGGGATGTTCCAGCAGCTGAGAACATAAAACGACTGTGGAGCCTTCCTCTCAAAGCAGGAGGGGGGGCGAGCTGGCTGGGGCTCTGTCTGCATAAAATGGCTTTATTGCCGTTTCTTTTTATTATGATTCTGCCAGAAGTCAGCAAGTGACATTTCATTAAGAAAATAAAGTTTAATGTGCTGGGAAGGAGGTTGGAGCAGGCTGGGGCAGCACAAGAGTGAAATTGGCAGCGGCAGCCTGTTCTGAACACCTGTGGGGGTGGGGAGAGGTTCCCAACATCTGTCTCCACTGGGGTTTGGGGTCAGGGTCAGAGTAAACTCCTCAGACCAGAGACAGAGCAGCCTTTTCCTTGGCAAACAAGATATGTTGTGCTTTCTATCTTGCCTGATGGGTCAGAGGAGCAGAAGCCCAGCTGGAGCCTGGGAGCTGGTAGAGAAGATTGTGTCCTGAGAGGTTTCTCAAAGACACCAACTAATCAGGTCTTGGCCTTCCCTCTAGCACAGGGCTCCCAGGATCTAGTAGAATTGCATTTAGCCATTAGTGCTTAGGTATATGGTATGGTACCTGTCATGGGTCTGGCCAGCTCTGCTGGAAGTGGCACGCATATAGAAATACCTGGAGAATTCTCACCCATACTCAGCACCTTGAGGGTAGGGATCAGATCCCTCAAGTGCCAAGCCAGGCAGAGGATAAACTCTAAAGGTTGAAAGAATATCGTTGAGGCGGTAGTTCATTCAGGAAGTATTTATAGAGCAACTGCTGTGTAGGCACTATGAGTTACTAGAAGGCATGGTTGAACCAACCAGACTTGGCAGAATGAGCAGACATTTGATTAGTAGACCAGGAGGGACAAGATTCTAGATAGAGACAGCAGGAGGTAAGAAGGCATGGGAGCAAGAAAAAACGTAGAATTTCAGAAACCATGATAGCTGTGTTCCACTGGAGTATGAGTCGTTCTCAAGGCCTGGCAGGCAATAAGACTGCACAAGAAAGGATTTCAGGCCACAGGGCTGCTTTCAGTGTTGAGAAGCTGGGGCTTTGGGGTGCCCTGTTGTCTGAGTTTTGCCATGGGTTCTTTGATTTCCTTTTTGCCCACCCACAAGCAGGACTGGGCAGGGCCAGGCTGAGCTGAGGATGTGAGACTGACTGTTGAGCTGCCTGTACTTGGGGGAGGGGGGCTGGCAGGGCTCGGGGGGCACACGCTGTAAGTGAACCTGATAGCTACATTCTGATTGATGGCAGAGTTTGTCTCCCAAACTGTCAGAGGGTTTATAGAGGTGCCACTCACTCACAAGGCGGGAATTGCTTGTCAGGACACCTGGCCATGAATAGGAGACAGAGCTGTTACTTGGTGTTTTCTCAGCTTAATGGCCCCATTGCTGACCTGCCTGCTGCCTTGAGTTTGTTGGTGCTTCGGTGTGGAGGGCAAATGAGGACTGTCAGGGAAAGGTGGAGCCTAGGCAGTGCCTAACCTCTCTTCCCCCAGTGCAGCTTACTCTGGAATGGGTTGAACCTTCGTGAGACCAGAGACAGGAGGTATAGAAGGAAGAAAAAGGATCAAGAAGAAAATACTTTTGAAATGAACTTAAAAGATGGAGAATATTCCAAATGGAGTGAATAGTATGAGCAAAGGGCTTAAGAGCAAGACTTACAGAGTTAGGTTTAAGGTGCAGTAAGTAGTCTGTCCATATGCATAGGGCTTGTAAAGTGAAGTTAGGGGAAAAGAATGAAAGTAGAGAAGTGGATACATCCAGATCCTAACGGATCTGGCTGAGGAGATGGGCTAGATTGTGTATGCAGTGGGAAGTCATAATCAGTTTTGAAGCAGAAAAGAGAAGGGTCAGAACTATATGGTAGGCAAGCATGAAGAAAACAGACAGGTTTGAGGAACCATTACAAGACTGTTACCCTGAGGAGAGGGTCAAAGCCTGACAGTGGAAAGAAAAGACAAGAAATTTCTGAGATGATCAGGCAGAATTTTGAGCTACTTCCTCACCTCTTTAAGGATTTCCTTGCTGATTCCACTCACCACAGATGCCATCACTTTCATCTCTTTCTGCTCTGGCAGGGCTGCTGTGCTGGCTAGTGAGAAGTGGTCCGAGACCACTGGGAGAAGGCAGGGGCAGGGATGGAAGAGCAGCTTTGTGGCCCTTGGCCCTGGGCTTTCAAGAAGGGTGGGTAGACCACATGGCAAAGTAAGTTGGCATCCTGTAGCTTCAGCAGCTCTCCCTCCCCATTGGCCAAGAGTCTGCCTGTGGCTGGGCCAAATGCACCTTGGTGGGGTCACCCGCCTGCCTGGCACTGCCTCCAACCAGCCTGGTTGCCTTCATGGACTGCTTTGAGAAGCAGGTGTGCATGCCTAGTCTTTCTCATCTGTCCCTTCCTAATCCCTTTATAACTGCACTTGTCCAGGAATCTGGGCTGAGTGAGGTGGAGATGAATAATTAATGTCAGGCGCTTCAGACACCAAATATTTGAACAGCTGCCTGGTGTTTTTGCTGGCAAGGACCTGGCAGCCAAAATCACAGTGTTGGCTGGGGGGTCCTGCTGTATGGCTCTGACTGGACTTAGCCAGCCTGCTCTCCCCTCTGATGGACTTATCAGGCTGGACACAGGGAATGCTGAGGTCCTAGGTTGGGTGATCTGATAGACCTGAGTTTCTCTGTCCTCTTCTTGCTCTTCCTAAACTTGGAAGACAGGAAGACAGCAGGTCTAGACTGTCTCCTGAGGCCATGACATAGTGTTTGAGTGGACTAGTTTATGAGACCATTTGGAGCAGCAAGCGATAACAGAGAAGGATGAGGTATGCGGAGTGAAAGGGACTGAAATGTCAGTTAAGTGCACCTGAGTATTCTCTATATCCCAGGCCCAAGTTACTATCTGGGCCTATCTAGCCCAAAACTTGATTCCTACGTAGAGGCAACAGAAGGGGCACCCTTGACCTAGTTTTGTTGGCCCCCAGTCCTTACATCCTGCTTCCCACAGGCTCTGGTTTCGTCATGTGCAGCGGCAAAGAGAATCCGGACAGTGATGCTGACTTGGATGTGGATGGGGACGACACTCTGGAGTATGGGAAGCCACAGTATCCTTGAGGCACTGTGGGACAAGGTGGGGCTGGTTGGACAGGGCAAGGGAATAAGAAAAGTAGCTAGCACCTCTGGTACTCTCCCACATCACCACGGCAGGGTTAGTGTTTCTGTTTTGGCCAAGATTCAACTCTCACAGCCTACTACAAACTAGGATCCATTGTCCTTGACCACCATGCCAGATACACGGAGGCTGATGTCATCCCCTGTACAGGAGAGGAGCCTGGTGAAGCCAAGGAGAGAGAAGCACTCCGGGGCGCAGTCCTAAAGCAAGTGTGGGCACAGACTTTGGGGGGTGCCATAGAGGAGTGGGAAGCCCTGAGGCAGGGGTCAACCCAGTACTTACTCTCAGGGCTGTCCTACCTGCCTTCAGGGCTCACTTTGTTCTTTCTCCTTCCTTTCCTCTAGTGGTGGCCCTCCCAGCACACGCATCACACCTGAGTTCTCTAAATGGGCCAGTGACGGTAAGTCCTGACCCAGGTTAAGAGTAATGGGGGAGAGGGGACATCCTTGGGTGGTGGTGACTGACTCAGGCCCAGCCCCTCACCCATGCTGCCCAGTCTGGCCAGAGTATGAGTTGCCTCTCTATCCTAACAGAAATGCCATCTACCAGCAACGGGGAGAGCAGTAAGCAGGAGGCCATGCAGAAGACCTGCAAGAATAGTGACATCGAGAAGTGAGTGTTGGGCCAGGAGGGGGCCCCTGGGACAGCAGTTCAGTGGGAAAAGAGGGGCTACCAGGGCTCCCGGCCCTCCCTCAATCCTGCAGCCCTGGGCACACAGCCGGCAGTAGGGCCCAGCTGGTGCTAAACGTGACTCTGTGAATTGATCACTGGGCCACAGCCCTCGGAGCCTTGGCAGCGGGAGGAGCAGTCCGCCTGCCTGCCCGCTCGCCCGCCACGGCGGCCTACACCCGGGGAATGTGATGTATGGCCGCCCAGCCCAGCCGGCACACTTGATTCATCTCCAGTTTCTGTTTCTTAATCGGGAGCTAAATTGGTTTCATTTTTCTTGTCCCGGGTGGCGCTTGCAATGGGTTTTAGGCAGAAGCATTGGGTCTCATCACTTCTGGTTGGAATTTTTGTCCTGGGTTCTCTGGCAGGGAAAAAGGGGATCCTTTAGCACTTCATCCAGGGCTGGGAAGCCCCTGGCTTGGATCCCCAGGAGCTGCAAGGACTTGAAATCAGCTGGGTACCTTACTGCCTTTCCAGAAGCCCAAGCAAGGCCTGTTTTAGCCCCAGGAGGTGGCATCGTCCAGTTCTGGGTGCCTAGAGCTACTGCCGTTGGCCATTGCTTAACTCCCCACACCCACCCCAGCCCTCTACTGGAGGCTAGGTTGCCTAGGGTTAAAAGGCAGCCTCTTCATTCCAGGACCAGTGTTCCATCTTGCCTCCTGCCAGGAGAGTGGATTGCAGGCCGGTGCAGGGCCGGGTCGGTGGCCCAGGGTCACCTCCCATTTGTTTCCCTCCATTTTGTGTTGTCATAAATTCATTCCAGCCCGTTGTGGTTGATCAGTTTATCTCGGCCGGGGCTGCGAGTGCTGCTGGCATGATGTATGGGCCGCGGCGCAGGGCCCGGCTGCCCATGAATCACCGCAGCTGCTCCGTGTCAGCGCGGGAGCGGGCCGCATGGGTTTGGCGCAACCAGCTTGAGGGGGGAGGAATGACGTATGGATGTTTATTTAATAATTCTCTCCTACTCCAGCTGAGCGGGGCGGGCGGGGCCATAAGGGGCACCCACCCTCGTCTGGAGGGGCTGCTCATAAATCAGAAAGACAAGATCATTAATCAGGGATGGCGCCCAAGGGGGAGGTGGGGGCCAGAGCCAGTGGCCATCCATGAGGGTACACCCACCCAAGGCTGAGAGAAGTCAGGATTTCTGTCCCACCTGTGTGAGCACAGGCACCAGTAGGCACAGTGCTAGAACAAATTGGGGACGGGCTCATTCATATGCAGAGATCTCCATTAGGTCTGGGTCTGCCAAGATGGGGGCTCTTTAGCCCCTATGCCTTCTCTCTTTCTTGTACACAATATGGTTTCCCGCCCTAGATCTTTTTCACAGCCCAAGGAAGGAGTAAAGCAGGATGTCATGGCTTCTAGGGAATTCTCCACCCTACGTCCTGGAGGGGCTCAGGAATAGCTCACAGCCAACCTGGGTTGGGCTTGAGTATTTCACCAACACAAAGAGTAGAAGTCAGGTTTTGTGCTGAGCAAACCTAAGACAGGGTGGATTCTGGAGTTAGATGTGGCCTTGGAGCTTTTGGAGATGATTGAGAAATAGCTTCATTCTTTCCTGGTCCCATCTTTTTTGCCTTTCCAACTCTAGCTCATTCTCTGCTTTGGAGTTTGAGAATTAGTTTGCTACTCTGGAGTAGGCTGCCCCCAGCTCCAGGCCTTAGTTTCCCCATCTTTGAAATAACCACATAGAACCAGGCAAATGCCCAGCCTTGTCCTTGGAGAGGAAGGGAGCACAGCTACCCATCCTTGTCTCCTTGTCAGGAATTAATAGCAATTCAGATGGGGATGGCACATGTGGTATTGGGCAAAATGCCAGGGGAAGAGCCAGCTGTGCAGGTGCTTGTGGAAGGGAGGGGGTGGTGAGGGCTTTTAGAGCTAGAAAGTTGAATGGATTCTCCCAGGGAAGCAGTCAGAGCTGTTCTCAGCTTGCCTGGATAGAGGCAGGGCAGAGAGAATCATGGACCCATGGATTAATGGATCTAGAGCATCCCTAATAAACACAGCCATCAGGAAGTCACATGTTATTGCTAGTACCCTAAGAGAGGAAGGTTAGAGATTGAAGTTTGTTGCTACCCATGGAATGTTAACACCATCCCTCCTCCCCGCCCGCAGCCCCAC